AGTACATATATAGATAGGTAAAGGCAGTGCCACATACAGTTTGCTGGTTTATTCTGTTTGGTTTTTTTAAAAATGTAGTTTGCATCCTACTGATTGTTCACAGTGTGTTTTGAGAGTGGTCTTAATTTTTGAAAACTTTTTAGGAGAGAATGTGAGAGATAGGAGAATAGTACATTAAATAATCTGGTAGCATTCAAATCACTTCTTTTTAAGAGGCAGTTTTTTAATCTGAGCTAAACTTAAAAAACCCCCCCAGCCAATAACAAAGAAAACAGCGAAGAATACCCAACCCCCCAAAAAGTCCAAGGAAAAAAACAAAACCCCAAAATATCTGTTACATAAAAGTGTTCTGTAATAACTGTGAGCATTTAACATCCACTTGTCACTGCTGCTTCCCTCTTACTTCTGAGTTTGTAGTCAGCTCACCCTTTGGCCCCCACATCAGGAGCCTTTCAGAGTACAATCATGTTGGTGTTCGGCTGTTTGGGAGCCAGGAAGCTATTTGCTCAGGTTTGCATGAAGAACAAGCTAAACAAACGTTTTTCACACCATATGTCTCCTTCCCCACAAGACTCCTGTAGTAGTTGATCTACAGTAGATGACACTTTGGACAAGTTAAGTGAATGACCCTAAATACATCTTATCTGTTCTACTGCATAGAAATTCCACCAGATGTTTTTGTCCCTTAAAGCTAAAATTAACTTCCTGAGTTGTTTCTAAAATTGACATCTGGAAGGAAATTTTTGCATTCACAAACCTCTCCTTTAATCACAGGGAGTGTGTCAAGGTTAGTAGGCCTCAAGTCTTGGCTGCGTGTCATTTTTCCACGCCCTCACTTGTCCCGGGGATCTTTCTTGGTGGCTTAACACTGCTTTGTTTCTTCAGTATGTGTGTGTTAGATGGAGGAAATAATTGACTCCCACAGCAGGTTTGGCCGATACAGGTAATAAATACGTATGAGTGGCTGAAACTGAATGCCAGCTTTGAAGTAATTAAACAAATTGAACAAAGGGACAGATTAACTTTAATGAAAATGTAAGTTTTTTGTAAGGAAAGCAGTCCCTGTGTTTACTTCAGCAAACTAGAGGTACACAAGCGTGTTTTACATGCAGAAGGGCTTAATTAAACACAAATATCCACTCTGCTAACTGCCTTCATTAAAGAATACACAGGAAAAACAGGTAAACACTACAAATGCAGATAAGAATGAATACTTGGTAGACACTGTCCTCTCCTGGACATTTCTATCAAAGCAGCCAGAGAAGTATTTTATGCTTAATATTATTCAACATGCTGTCTTTGACAAAGTATTTTTGTATCAGTGAAAAATCAAAATAGGGAATGAATGATGGCCAGTTAAAATAAATCCTCCTTCCTGTTCATCCTCTGCATGAGAGCTGTGTAAAACATGTCAGTGTTGGGCTGTTAGCTACCTGCTAACACAGTAGTTTGGTACCGTGAGGAGTTCAGACATATGATAAGTTTTTTGCTTGTATGAGGCTTGTTGTATTTTAAGGAGCATATTTTGGTTTTGTTCTTTCTGAAAACTGAAGCATCAGCCCTGATAAAAGTGTTTCAGTAGCAGGTTAGTTTGAAAGGCAATACAGCAGGTAGGGATACTGAAACAAACAATTTAGTCTGAATATTATTTTTTTCCCTTGGCAGTGTTTCTGTTTATCAAAAAAATGGAGTGTTCACAGTCTCTAAAAAAGATACTGATTTAGCTGCTTTGAGGGGAGACAAGACCACCTTGGTTAGGATGGTGACAGGGTCATTTAGAGTTACCTAAACTTTGAAACCTTAATAGTTCCTGCAGCTTGAGTGAGCTCTGGGTAATTTTTATCTATTGATAAGAATTATCTATTGATAAGAATTGAAAAATTGTGACATTTTCTTACTGGTAATAGCTGCATGATCCAAACATGAATTTTAGTGTTATTGTGGACAAAGGACTGTGACCAATATTTATTCATTTTATAAATTGAATTAATAGCTGAGCTCGTCGGTAACAGTAAGAAAACTGAACAAAATCTGTGCCTGATCTCTCATAAAGCTGAGAAATCTACACAGTGTTATACAGCCTAAATGTTGGTCTTAAGTATGCTTGAGACTTGTTTCAGGATGTCAGCCACATGTAGAACAGGCTGCTGTTTTCATTTGTTAATGATGCTGCTTTTTCTGTTGTTCCTGAGGGCTGATTTTAATATAGGCAATAAATGTCATGGCCCTTCGTTGTCAGTATAAAGGTGACTAGCAAAAAGCCCAAAATAACCCCACTGTGTAACGCTCAGGTCTGTTCAGACATAGTGAATGTACTTATGTACCTGTTCAGAAAGAAGCTACATTTTCTCACAAAGATGCAACTCAATACCTTAACAGTGTCATTGTGAAAACACTGTTCTGGTAACTGATGTAGACATTTGCTTTCTCTGCTCTTATGCAAAACTAATGGTTCTGGTTTTGGGGAAATTTGTGTTTCTGTGCAGGTAAAACAGTTCAAGTGCTTCAAAGCAGCACTGTCATTCCCCTTGGATTTAAGCTTAAAAATTGGGAAACGGTTACTTCAAAAATTAGCATTTGGGTTTCTTAATCATGGTTAGTAATGAGACACTTTTCTTACTTCTGCTCTTTTTCCTGTTCCTTTCCACAGAACAAGCTTGCCATCTCCAATGTTTTCCCGAAATGACTTCAGTATCTGGAGTATCTTAAGAAAATGCATTGGAATGGTAGGTAATTGGAAAGCTATGATAAAAGATGTGATTGTTTCATATGAGGCCCAAATGAAAACTTTTTTGGGAGAAGAGGGGGTTTTGGTTTGGTTTGGTTTTGTTTTTAACTTGCTGGTTATTCTTTATTTGCTTTACAACTCAAAAAGGTAAGACTTGGGCAGAGCAATACTCCTTCAGTAAAAGCATTTCCTCTTGACTTTAACCCTTAAAGTACTTTATGATAGGGTGGTTTTTTTTTTAATTGGACTGTGATAAAAACAAAACCAAACAAAAAAAATCGAGCTACTTTCGTTTTGCTCTTCTCCCTTTCCTGTAGTATCTGTGTCTTCCCTCTCTCCATGGTGTTGCTCTCCAGATGGTGGCCAGATCAGAGTTAGCTGGTTGGCACCTAATCTGCTTCCAGCTAAGGGTGAACTGAGAAGAGTTCTCTTCATTAACTCCTACAATAGGCTAAAAGTACTTGCTGCTGATAAACCTCTGTAACAGTAGCCTACAGAAGGGAATGTGTGTTTAGTCGCTGTTGTTTTCTCCTCCTCCCCGCGGTGTAAGTCAGGAGCAGCACCAAGCAGTGACATGTGGAAATGCCGGGGGATGCCTGCAGCAGCAGCAAGGCTCCGGAGTTGCTGTGAAGCATCTGAGGCTTCTCACAGTGGCTTTAGTGGAAAAGTGTTAGAGCCTTAAAATACAAAGAACTTACTGAGAGCCTGTCTTGCATAAGGTGTGTGCAGGAAAAATGTTCCATAAAGGTCAGAATTCTGCTCTGCCGGAATTGCTGCACAGGAGTTGCAGGTGGGGGGAGGGACAGCACGGCTTGTAGTGGCTTGTACTGAAGTGTCTGCCAAAGTTGTTGGTGCAGATGCTGCACATGCTCAGCAGCCATACTATATGCTTTTAATTTGCTACTGTTGGCAGTTTAAGCCATTGCTATCTTATGCCTTCATAGGGCATGCATTTTAAAACTTGGAAAAGAGAATAAACAGCATCCAAACTGTAGGACTTTTAAAAATTTTTATTCCTGTTACAAAAATCCCCTTTTTTCTTCAGAATGCAGAATCCCTGTTGTGACTCTTCTGCTGCCATGTTTCCCTGTCCTTTCTCATCTTCCCTCTCACCTGCCTCCAAAAAAAGATAATATGTTTAAGTAATTAGATGGCCTATATCTATTTAAAGACCAGTAAATAACTTAGTCTTTAAAAAGGGTGCTCAATACTTCATTCCGTTGTTTCATCTCACCTTCCTAACGCATTTGTTGACAAGAAGTTTTTTGTTTCATGTTGGATTTTCTTTTTGTTATAAAAGTAGTCTTAAGGCCAGCACAGCTCTGCTTAGTGAGCTCTTAAGGGATGTATAGGCTTTTGTCCTTCCAGCATTAGTGGAGCCAGATCAAGCACATTGCATTAGTGCTAAGAGCATCATTTATTTTTGTAATAAGCCACTTACACTTGGGTTACTGCAGGACAGTGTATCTAATGATTGGACTTCTAACACAAATTTCATTTGTGTATCAGGAGCTGTCGAAGATCACAATGCCGGTTATATTCAACGAGCCCCTGAGCTTTCTGCAGCGACTTACGGAGTACATGGAGCATACATACCTCATCCACAAAGCCAGCTCACTCTCCAGCACAACTGAGCGAATGCAGGTAGGTAGGTTGGGTGTGGTGGTTTGTGTGAGCTCTTGGTGAATGTCTTGAGATCTTTTTTCTTTGTAGTCTCACTATAAGAGGAACTCCTGTAATTTGCTGCATGTCTGATTCTCTTTTTGATCAACCAGTTTTGCTTATTGTCCTGGATTCTGTTGTGGTACAGTTGGTATTCTTCCTAGTATACAATGCTATATTTTGGATTTAGAATGAGAATAATGTTGATAACACACTCATATTTCAGTTGTGCCTAAGCTGTGTTTATGCTAAGTCAAAGACTTTGCTGTTCCTCCTACTGTCTCACCAGCAAAGAGGCTGATGGGGCACAAGGACCTGGGAGGGAACACAGCTGGGACATCTGACCCCGACTGACCAAAGGGATACCCCATACCATATGCTGTCATGCCTAGTACATAAACTAAGGAGAAAGCTGGTCAGGGGGTTGCTGCTCAGGAACTGACTGGGCATTAGTTGATGGGTGGTGAGCCATTAGCCATTCCACTGGGCATTACTTGTTTTGATAATTTTAATATTTTTCCCCCTTGAGTTTAATAGGACGGAAAAGTATCATTATCTCAGCCCACTAATTTCACTTTCTTCCCTCCCCACCACCCCAGTTCTTTCCCCCTTCCCACTTGGACTGGACTGGGAGGGGTGAGTGAGTGGCTGTGTGGTGTTCAGCTACCTGATGGGTTAAACTACCATAGTCCTTTTTGATGCCCTACAAGGAGCAGAGCCCAAAGGGCTGAGATAATGACAGATTTAGTCAGAGTGTGTTAAATGGATTATAGGCATTCATTGCATTGTATTTAATAGTCGCTGGTTGCAATGTTGAGTTATTTGCTCTCAGAGTTGTTGCGCACGTTCTCAGAGTCGCGTTATGCAACATCTTACTTGGATGTTCCTTTTTACGCTGTTTATCACCTCTTGGGGCTGAGTTGAGGTTATGATTTTGTTGTGCTTTGTAACACTGCCTTGTAATATGATAGAATTGCTGGTGGTGAGTCTGAGCTGGTATCTGTACTCAGCATCACTGTCATCTCCATACTTTGGGAGCCATGTATTTGGAACTATTCATACTTACACCTTGCCTTTTCCCCTCAGAGAGCCAATCCATGGGGAACATACCTTCCTCCATTATCCCCTTCTCCTCCAGGCTAATTACAGTAGCACCTGGGAATTTCGAATATCCTTGGGATGTTCAAAGCAGCGTGTTCCTTTCGCTATGTCTCCTATATGTGTTTCAGGTTTTGTTTATGGTTAAACAGCTATTTAAGCATACCATCCAGAGATCTGTCCTGAGGCTGGATGTGTGAGATAATATGGGTAGGTGCCTAGGATACTGGGCACCTCCAACATTTTGGAATTTCACCCCTAACCAAGTGCAGAATCCTGAAAAACTGGTAAAATATTTGGAAAAACCATGCTGTCACCCTGGCACTACAGAGGGCAAGGTGCCTACCAAGCCTCGTTCAATGCTATTCAGTACCCGTAAGGGGCAGAGAAGGCCTCTGGATCTGACAACAAAATGACAGGCACTGTGGCTACTCCAACCCCTGTGACAGGCACTGCGGCTGAGCCAAAGAACTGACCTGTGCCGGTATCAGTCATCCCTGTACACAAGAGGAAACATGGGAAGTGAAAGTCAACTCATTTACTAAGGGAGGAAGGAGCTGTCTCTGAGAGGGAGCAGGAGAAGGAAGTGGATGAGACAGACTACTGCAGGGCCACCTTGAGGACAAGAGGAAGAAGAGAGGTAGCTGCTGATCAGGGAGGGGGAAGATGAAGAATTAATAAATGAGGCAGTAACCACCTGAACCTTATCCCTGAGTGAGCTGTGAGATACACAAAAAGATTTCAGCTGTCATGTAAGTGAGCATAAGGTCACCTGGCTGCTCTGATGTTGGAATAGCAAGGCCAGTCGTCTGGAATTAGAGGGTAAGGAAGCCAAATGGCTTGGATCCTTTTCTAGGGCAGGTGGTATTGGCAAAGTGATTGGAAAAGGGACACAGTCCTCAGCTGCTGGAGGTGATTCATATTAGGTGTGAAGGAAAGGTATCCCATCAAGAAAGATGTTATGTGTCACCCAGGCAAGTGGAACACCTTGGAGAAAGGTACCCAGTACCTGAGGGAATTAGCCATGCTGGAGGTGATTTATGATCGCCTGGACAACAAGCAGTTATTCAGAGATACAGATGGCGTCAGGTGCACGTGACCCATGTGGCAGACATTTGTGCAGGTCCAGTACTGTCATTTAGCTACCTGTCAGGTTAAACCATACCACACAGCCACTTGCTCACCCTGCTCCCTTGTGGGATGGGGCAGGGATTCTGAATCAAAAACACAGCACTGTACCAGCTAATAGGAAGAAAATTAACTCTATCCCAGCAGAAACCAGGACACGTCTCTAGGAAAATGTTTTGATATTGTGTAATACCATGACTGCTGTTGATTAACTGTGTACTCTTACTCTTCTGAGTAGTGTGTTGCTGCATTTGCTGTGTCTGCTGTAGCCTCGCAGTGGGAACGTACAGGGAAGCCATTCAACCCGTTGCTTGGAGAGACCTATGAACTGATAAGGTAATGAACAGGAGCTGCACTGTGTTCTGTGTAATAGATGTTTCATTAGATTTGTCAGGTGGCTTGCAGGTACTTCAGCTTGTATTGGCTGCTGCAGGTGCTTGCAGTGCATGTTGGTGTTCGCCAATGCACCTTCCAGTGAAGGGCAACTACTTAACTTTTCAATTCAGAGCAGGCAAATAAAATTTGCCAGGTTTAAAAGCAAGTTTTGTTTACAAAAAAATCTTTTTTCTGAATGAAAAGATGTTCATAGTATATAAGGGAGGTGTTGGAATTATAATATTCATGATCTGAGTGTTCAAAATACATAAAGGCAGAGTGGGTCTGTTAGTGTGCAGCTGCCACCTAAGGCAGATTTTTTTTTTCCAGATGAGGTTTTGGCCTGTGCTTATGTGAAAATGTAAGAAAAGTCATTATCAAAAGTAAATATATTGACTCATCAGACTTGAGAGTTCTTGTATCCTTTTTATATTAAGGCCTCAGTTACTTAGAACAAGGATGTTCTATGTATTAGTTCATCTTTTTGGTTTAGCCTCAGTTTGTAATTCACTGTTGCACTGAGTACAGCAACTATGCATGGGTCCAACTATCTGTCTCACCTCATGGAAAAGAACTGCAACTTCACTACACTTGATACAGAGATAAATAGTATTGGTTATGTTTATTTTGCAGAGACGATCTTGGATTTAGACTTCTCTCAGAGCAAGTTAGCCATCATCCACCCATCAGTGCTTTCTATGCTGAAGGCTTAAATAATGATTTTGTCTTTCATGGATCAATTTACCCTAAACTCAAGTTCTGGGGCAAGAGCGTGGAGGCAGAACCAAAAGGCACAATGACGTTGGAGCTCCTTGAGTAAGTTGATCAGCAATGATTGCACGTGCACAGTGCCTCATCCTTGATGATTAGTGTGCGTTAGAGTCTGGTGGCTTAGGGGCAAACATGTCTAGCTTCCACATCCTAAGGTCTGATGGCAGATCACCTTGTGGGGAGGAGGGGATGAGAAGGCAAAAAGAACTACCATTGTTTCCCCATATATACTACGTGCTAATAGTAGCAGCAGTTGGGGCTTGTGCCTATATGTCCTGCAAGTGCCTGGATTTCAGTCCTGCTCAGGCTATCGTGCTTGAGACCTGTTGGCTTTCCTCATGTCTTTCAGTGCTAACAGTGACTGCAATGAAGTGACTGTTTTAAGGAATTGATAAAATAAGCATCAATAGGTTAATAAACTTCTTGAGTTTCCTGACTTGTCCATGTCCATTTCAAGACTTGGAATGATTGATAGATCACAGGAGTGATGTGCAGTGCAAAGGTACAGTATTTTAATTTTTACTCTTCTCCCTTAGACACAATGAAGCCTACACATGGACAAATCCTACGTGCTGTGTGCATAACATTATTGTGGGCAAACTCTGGATTGAGCAGTATGGAAACGTGGAAATAACTAACCATAAGTAAGTTAAGAGTGCGAGTGCTCTTACTCTCTGCAAGTTTGAAAAGGAAAAGCATTTGGAAGTAATTAGTGCTCTCTCCTTCTGCCTTTAGAACTGGTGAGAAATGTGTACTAAGCTTCAAGCCCTGTGGCCTCTTTGGGAAGGAGTTGCACAAAGTTGAAGGCTACATTCAGGACAAAAGGTAACAGCTTCATTCCTAGTAGGAAACAAGTGGCTGCCCTTGTTTCTGATGGGAGATGTAGAACAGCTTTTAACAGTCTGTCAAGGACATGAACCTGCAGCAGTAAGGTCACAAATACAACACCAATAGTGGAGTTTAAGAGTTGCTCTCAGAAGTCCTCCTTTCAAATGTTTTTGTCTGAAATGATGAATCAAATCTCTTTAAGCTCCTTTATAAACTTGGTCTGGGTTTTTTTGACAGCAAAAAGAAACTTTGTGCGCTGTATGGGAAGTGGACTGAGTGTCTGTACAGTGTTGACCCAGCTACATTTGAAGCTTACAAAAAAAATGACAAGAAAAATGCAGAAGAGAAGAAAAGCAGTAAACAGGTACTAATGGCATAAAGAGGTGGGATCTCAAAAGCATGATAAGACAGCTAAATATTTTAGTAGCATTTAAGAGCATTAAGATTTCTTTTCCCTTATCCTCTCTTCCCTGCTAGGATACAAAATGGATTGGATGAGTACCAGCATTAAAGGATAAAATGCTTTCTCTCTTAAGGATTTGTATTCAAACTTCCCAGACCTTGGGTGTGATCTAAACACTGTCTAGTTCATTGCATGCCTCTTCTTCCCAGGTTACATGGATGAAATAATATATCCATTAGTTGGACTATGGTTCCAATCAAGTGTTCTAACATTTTTACTCTAATAGGAGGATAGGGACTCCTAGAGGCAGGATAGACTAGTTTCTCATCCTGACAGAAGATCGTATTTTCCAGCTTTTATAGGAAATTTTATATTGCTTTCTATTAAATTTTCACAGCTGTAGGAATACTTGCTTTTTTTTGTTCTCCTTCAACAATTGCTTTTTTTTTTTTTCCTTCCCCCTCTGGACAAACACCCGTATTCTTAAATCTTCCAGATTTCTGGTCAGCAGTACATTTTTTCTTTAGGTTGAATGGTGATGGTGACAACATAGAGCTCAATGAGGAATAGTCACTCACATAGTAGCTTAAAACAGGGATTTGTTCTCTTTGGTAACAGCAGCCAGGTTTTTTTGTTGGTTTGGGTGTTGGTAGTTTTTATACTTAAGGAAAATAAGAGATGGAGAACTCTGAAAGCAGTTGTTCCTGTGCAGGTTCAGATTGTTGCTGTATCTGAGGTTGCTCCAGTGCTTGTCATCAGGAGAGTTCTAAAGCACTGGGATTGCTGCTTTGCCTGCCAGTCTGACCCCACGAGCTCTAGGGTAAAGGAGCAAAGAGAAATACATCCTGTGTCTTTGTTGAGCTCCTGCTTTGCATTTTCCACCAATACTTAAGATGATTGTTGCTTTTCACTTCCAAATGAAGCATCATCTTGCATAAAGCCCAAGCTGCAAGGTAGCTCTGACTCTAGAAAAACATGCTTTTTGTACTCATTTAACAGAGGTATTTCTGTGTAGAAAACAAAGCTTTGTAATGCTAGGTATGAATGAGGTAGTCTTCGTTGAATATGCATTCCCACTGCCCTCCTGTGTCTAAGGAGCTGATATTTTCTATTTTTTTTTGAGCATCTAGGTAAGCCAAGTCTTATGTATAATGTCTGGATGTGGTTTGTCTCTTCATGGCAGTGAAGGATGCATTCAGGCACAAAAGCACATGGCTTTTCAAACTTAATCTGATTAGAACTTTTAGATTTATGTAGTTGTTTTCCAGCTATTCCTTTGTGTACTGCATTGCTACTAAAGAATTACTTCTGTATCCCTTTAGGGAACCTCCTTGGATGTGAGTCTTTTTGCAGCTTGCTCCAGATTTTCCTATCCCTTTGATTTTTACAGGATTTAAACTTGGGGGAAAATAATTCTGCAGGGAACTAGACAAGCCTTCGTGTATGCAAAGGTGCATGCAACATCAGATGGGTTATAGTAGACCTGAGGTTAGACCAGGATGATTCTGCTTTGAATGAACCAGAGTCTCTTTAATCAAGCTGAAGCAGAATTTTCACTGCAAATACATGGAGGAGCATAATGTAAGGCAACAGCAACTGCCCTCACACACGTCTCATTGACAGACACCAGAGCTCTTGCTTTGCTCTTTGCTTTGGCAAGTCTGTTAATACCCTCCCGGCAATATACTGAAAGGTTGAGTAGCACTGAGCATGAAATACGGATCACTTGACAGGGGCATATGAAAATCCACATTTTACCTAGCTCTCTAATTCTTAACGCCACTTTTGAGATTATGTATCCAAAAGGCACAAATTGCAGTGTGTATTGTAGCTGTTCTATAGAAGTTGGCTTGGAGTTTAACAGTCTGGTATCAGGGTATCTTTGTTTTGATGAAAGGATAACTTTCTGATACATTCTGTTTCAAATTCCCAGTTTCTGAAGGATCAGTCAGTGTCCTTTAAAGGACATACTGACAGTTGCCAGCAGAGTTCAGATGTAGTCAGCTAGAAGTCTTCCTACGAGCTGAGAGACTGAACCCGATCAGCATGTTGTTCTGCTTACTTAGCAACCTGTTCATTATTAAAAGCACAGTGAAGTGTTCCACGGTAAAACAGAATCCTTACTACTACTTCTAATTCTCTTGGAGGCATAACACGTGAATCATCTCAGAGGACAACTGAGTCCATTTTGGCTACTGGATGTTTTCAGTCTGTATTATCTGATGCAACCATTGGAGAGCAAAGCTTATTAGCCGCAGGATTAAAGCTGCTCACATGTAGCCGAAGTATTTAAAGCATTAGTTGCCTTTAAGTTCAGCTCTGATCTCTGAAATGTGCTGCTGTTTTTAGCTGTGATCGTGACACGAGGTTTTCCCAGAAGAGCTACATTCATTGTCCAGCTTGGTTTTAGTTCAGTGTTGTAACATCTGCTTGTGTGGTGGAATTCATGACAGCAGCGTCATGACAATTCATGACAGCAGTGTGTAAAAAGGGTGATGGTTCACAGCTCGTTCAGGTCACATCTACAGTGTGACCACTAGTAATTCTCCAGTGCCCTAGTAACCCTGGATGGAGTTTTTCCCTTTCTGGGCAGACCATTTCACAGTGCTGTGGCTGCAGCTGCCTCAGGCTGTGTGTGTCAGCCCTCACAGAAGAAGCAGCTAATCTAGGATTTTCATTTCATGTTTGGAGTTTGCCATTTCAGTAGTGTTGTGGTTAATGGAACGGAAGGTTCCTCTGAGCAAAGAGCAGTAGGAAGGGCTTTCTGTTGTGCACAAACTGGGCAGTGCCTGCATTATGTGCTGGCATTTTTTTGATGTGGAAAGATGAGGAATGTGACTTCTATTCTTTACCTTTAATGAAGCGATAATGAAGTTCAATATCAGACATGAAAGTGCTTGTATTTGAGGAAACAGGACATCTCTGACGTGGAAAAATTGACATTTCTTAATGCTTGAATCTACAAAGACACTGATGCAAGAAAGTACTGTTGGTAGTCTTTCACTGGGAGGGAATTGGGAGTATGTGTGCTATGTTCATGCTGTTATTCTCCTTGAAAAGCATCTAGAAAAGTTTCTTTGTTGATGAAAGTACTCACTTTTGGTCGAGCAAATAAGTTCTGATGTTGGGTGTAAATGGTTTATGACTCCAAAGAACCCCTCTTTTCTTTGTGTGCTGCCTTTAGGTGGGCAATACTGAGGAGTCTGATGAAATGCCATTGCCAGATTCTGAGAGTGTGTATGTTATTCCTGGAAGTGTTTTGCTATGGAAGATAACTCCAAGACCTCCAAATTCAGCACAGGTCAGTTCTGCTGCTTCTTGTTGAAAGTCTGTGCTATCCTGTTACTCTGTATGTTTAACACAAAGCCAAATCCATTTGTTGTCTTTGTCATTAGCAAATCTGGATTTGCCTCCCAACAAGCCTTCCTGCCACAGTCCTGACTTTACAATGTGGGGCTGTAGAGATAACTGCCACTTAGTGAGTTTCTCCGGAAAATGGGATGCTTCATGTAGCTAGTGGTATGGGGGCTTTTCTCTCACCCTGTTTCCTGCACTAAGGCACCAGCCTTGTGAGAAATCTTCTGAAGGGCTTTATTAGAGGACAGACACTTCCTAGGACAGACATTTGTGCCTGCATGGCATACTTTGGTGTGTGTAGGCAGAATATAAAGGCGTGTGTGCAACTGTGAAGACAAAGAGTAGGAACAAGAAAAGATGCCCTCACTGGGTTAATCAAGGGGGAAATCTCTCTACAGAGATAGGTAAAATACCAGTAGGACTGGAAAAAGACGATAAGAGGGAAATAGTGCACTGAGTAATTGGATGCTGGCCTGCTTAAACAGAAACACCAAGGATCACCGACACGCTGCCTGACAGTGCAGTTTGCTGGTATCTCGAGCATTCCTGTCTTTAGTGATTAGATAAAAAGCACTTGGATGTTCGTTTTCAGACAGGAGTTTTCTTGTGTATTAAGACTAGCAGCTAGAGACATTGTAAAGTGACCTTTTATCTTTGCCTCTGAATTTCAGATGTATAATTTTACCAGCTTTGCTATGGCTTTGAATGAGTTGGACAAAGAAATGGAGAGTGTCATTCCCAAAACTGACTGCCGGCTACGACCAGATATCAGAGCTATGGAAAATGGAGAAATAGGTAACTTCAGTTACTGGCAAATGTGGTTTTATTTTCTGTTAAAACTGAGGGACTGGGAAAAAAGTTGTTACATGAACAATTAGAGTAAGTAGCTACCCGTACTTAAAAGTTTTATATATGTATACCCATACCCATAAGCTCCTCCATGCTGGAAGGCAGTGACTCTTTAACACAGCCTTCTGCAGCTTGTGGTGTGCTTCTGGTGAGAGGGATGTCACCCACCTGTACTGGGGATGGTTGGGATGGAGCTAATTTTCTTCACGGCAGCCCATATCTGGTGCCGTGTTTTGGACTGGTAACCAAGGCAGTGTTGATAACATCAGCACAGTGTTAAGGAAGTATTTGTGAACTCTTCAGTTTGTCTGTTTTCACCAGCCTGATGCAGGAGGAGTGTTTGATGTGCCAGTTCTGAGAAACGCAGTCTTAACCATTCTAAGTGTACCTGCAGTGCCAAAAAATACATTTGATGCAGAATTATTCTTCACTAGGAGCTGAACACTTCTGCTGTCCTAGAATAGTGAATTAGATATGCATTATGAGACTTTTTCTTGAGTAGAAATTGTGTGCTTTTTAGAAACCTCATAGAGATTACTGTAGATGCCACAGAGTGAAAAGTGTCTTCTAGACTTCTGACATGTGACTTGATGTTAAATACTTTGATATGGTGTCTAACAGCCTTCCCTGGCCCTCTTTAGGTACTTCTTCTTTGGCAGTTTGCATATTAAAGCAGGATCACCAGCTCTGTAGACTAAAAATGTGGGAGCTTTTGCTTACTCTGGATTCCTGAGTGATTTGCTAAGTCACAAAACCTCTGACTCAGTTTCACCTGTGTAATAGGGCAAGGACTGTGACTACTACTGTTAAAGACTCTGAGATCTAGGCATGCAAACCAGTGTCATGGTGCAGTACAGTGCCATTGTGCTGCTTTGTTTTGGATTTTTTTCCTCAGAAGCCAATAACCATTTCTTTGAGGCTTTTAAAAAAGCAGAGTGAATTCCCACAACCACTCTCTCCTGTCTGTACAATTCCTTTGTGGCCAGCAGGATGGACATGCTTGGTTCAGAGCATCCCCAGTAATTAGTCTGTTTAAACTTGAAGTCCAAATAACTGTGCTGTTGGCAACAGACCATATTCTTTAACAATACTAGTGGCATAAAGTTTGCCTAGCAGATAGTAATACACAGTGGGTCAGTAGCTGGCAGAGTAACTGGGAATAGCTGATAGTCTTCCAGAACTGATTCTTTCAACTACTTCTTTTGAGACGTGTATGAAATGCTTTCTGAGGATTCAGGTATGAAAGAGTGAGCCTTTCACCTAGTTTGCTCCTTAGTCTGACTTGTCAGGTTTTCTGACCATCCTCCCTGGCAAACAGAAGCAGACGTTCTGCTTGTTCGGGATCATGACCTGTGCTACCTTAGTGCATTAACAAAAAAATTAAGGGATGCTGCAGAGAGACAATTCTTTGTGGTTTGGAAATGAATATTCCAAACCTCTGTTGATAGGAACTAGGCACTAGTAGCAACTTACCCCAAACATCAGCAAGAAGCAGGTAGACAGACTTCTGAAATAAATCCAGCATATCTTAATCAGTTTCTCTGCTGAAATAAATTCTTTGCCACCTCCCTTAGCTCACATTTGCTTCATATAAACACATTTTCAGGGTCTTCAGGCCATGGATAAACATGCATTTAGCAGTCTTAAAGACTGGAATGCTGCTGGCTGATCCTGTGCCACAGCTGGGCTGGCTTTGCACTTAGGCTAAACCAGTAACATTCTGTGTTATGTAGAAGGCTTTTTAAATAGACAGTTTTGACTACTTCCCTTATTTATTTGCTGGGTCGGATGAAGTGATATCTTATATACTGTCTTATACTATGCTTTAACATAATCTTTAGTTTTATTTCTGTATTTTTATTCCTTCAAGATCTGGCTAGTGAAGAAAAGAAGAGGCTAGAAGAAAAGCAGAGGACTGCCCGCAAAAATCGTTCGAAGTCGGAGGAAGACTGGAAGACAAGGTGAGTTCACTTACTTGCCTCTATGTGTGTGTAGTTATGTAAAGGTTTTGAACATTCAGGTTAACTGCCAGTCT